TTGGTAATTTGATTTTAGTTGGGCGGTCTTTCTTTTTTTAATTCACTGTTACATTAAAGAGGAATAATAGAGGGGTAAGTAAATAACAGGTTTTTAAAGAACTCACACACTTTTCATCCACTTCGATTATGAACAATATTTTCTCAACTCATAACTGAAACTTAGTTCTATCTAAACTGAGCGAAACACGTGTTTCTTCTTCAAAAAAGTGTTTGCGGAAATTAAGGATTAGTTTTTTTTTTAGTTATTTATTTACCACCGTATCCTTTGCCGTATATTCAATACAACTTTTCGGTCAAAGGAGTTACAATGGAATGCCTACAATCCCTACAAATAAGGTTTTGTTTTATAAAAACGTGCTTTTTTTCTATTTCATCATAAGCATTATAAGATCGTTAGTCCTATCCTGAGCTAATCTTCGCATTTCCTTAAAACTCCCACATCCTTATCTGTAATCTAATTTAATCTACATCTACCTCTGCTCCTCTTAACTCCTGTATCTGTTTCAAATATGTCTTTAACTACAACTTCATGCCTACGATATCCTATCAACCTAAAGTTTAATTACAGTTATTTTATTTACACAATATCTATTCATGAATACCAAAATTTAATTTATTTTTATGCTAGAAAAACTGAATGTTAATGCGAAAAAAATTAATATAGGTACATAATACTTTACTAATATTACATTACGAATATTAACAAAGTATGTGACTAATAAAATAACGATTTCAATTAAAAATGAAATTCAACTAATCAAGATTAAATTTTCACTTTAAAAAGTATCTAAAGAAAAAGTATCTTAAAAAAAACAATTCGATCCATACTAGGTATTAAAAGATTTATTTCCTTTATTTTGAAAAAATATTCAAGAAATCATAAAATAAAAATAATATCTTTCCAAAAACGTTTTCCTAATTTTGACATTTTTTCAGATTTCCTTCGTATCCATGTCAACACCACACTAAAGTTGCCAAAAGAAAAAAAGGACAATCACACTGAAGTCATATATTTACCTTTGCGAAAGGGGCCTCACTCTGACAGCAACCTTAAGGTGAGTCATATTGTTTAAATCACGCACTAAAACGACGGTAACATTAGTGACAGTAGTAATAGTAATAGTAGTAGTTGGTGATTAACTGAGTAAGCGCCGCGACGCTAGAGACCAAGAAATCGCCGATGCATCTGGATCTGATCCAGACGCCGCATCAACTACACATCTTGTTAAAGGAATAAGCGGTGCGAACACTACGCTGTGTAACCACCAACTATTTAGGTCTAAATTTGTAAAAAGAATCAGTGGCGTCGCCGAATTAAATTAGAAGAGAATAGTGTAGTGACGCTCCTTATGTAATACATAATTTTATTATCTACTTAAATAATAATAATACAATTAATACTTGCTTATGATTTATACGAAGGATGTTGCGACAATTGCGAAACATCCGCGGATTTCACAAAATTTCCAACCGCAACATCTACACGAAAATTAACTAGAGCTGTCTGTAACTGCTTTTTAAACCCCTGTGGTCATTGTCTAACAAGGAGGACTTAGAGATAACTTTAATTAAAATTGAAGCTGTACTGACAAAATGGTACTGTATGAAAGTAAATAAAAGTAAAACAAAACACAAAACAAGGGAAGAAAAAGTAAGGAAAGATCGAATATAAAGATAAGGGACGAAAAATTAGAAGAAGTGGCTGATTTTAGGTATATAGGAAGTCAGATAAGTCAGAACGAAAGGAGTAGTAGGGATATAAAGCAGAGGATAGCGCAGAGTGGTATCGCCTTAAATAAATAAAAGTCACTTCTGTGTTTGCGAACGGTTAATTCGAAAACAATTCTTAAAGGTGTATGTTTGGAACGCGGCGGTGTATGAATGCGAAACATGGACAGTAGGCGCGGCGGAAAAGAAAAGGTTAGAAGCGTTTGAAATGTGGTGTTATTAGGCGAATGTTGAGGATATCGTGGATAGAGAAGGTTAGAAATGAAGATGTATTAGAAAGAATAGTAGAACGGAACACTATGAAAGTCAATAAGAAATATGCGAGATAGGTTGGTAGGGCACCTTCTCAGGCATGAAAGTCTAGTCAGAGACATATTAGAGGCAGAAACAGGAATTAGGAGAAGTGGAGGTAGACCTAAATTAAATTACTGTTCGCAAACAGTTAAGGATGTGGGTTGTTCTAGTTTTAGGAAAATGCGAAGATTAGCAGAGAGACGTATCCACTCAGTCTTAGGACTGACGACCTTATGATGATGATGATATGGTCATTGTATGCTATTAAAACACAAACGACCTTTAAAACAAATTAAATCTCTCTGTCTGTACTGACTAATATTTGAAACCTAGTTTTGATCGAACCTTAAAAGCGTTAAAGAAGGTTATCAGAACTGATCTGAGCTACTTAGTTATAATATTTGTATTTATTGTAAACTATTAGAAATAGCTTTGCGCGGACCAAGTTGCATGTAAGGGTTAGTAGTAAATTAAATTAAATCATAATAAAAGGAAGTTCAAGTAAGGTTCTAAATTTTGTCATAAAATCATAAATGTATACATATTTCTTTAGAATTTAAATTTTCGCAGATATGATACTAGTATACAAATACTTTAATAAATATCTGCGAATAGATATTTGGCTACTGATATTTCCCAGAAACTGATTGGAAGTTTCATACTCCTCAAAATTAATTCATGCATAAAAGAAAAACACGAATATTTCTTTATCTTGACTATACATTTTTGCAAGGTTTAGGCTATTGTGATTATCGACAATTTTACCACATGTTTGTAAAAAGTTTTAATATTTTAATTATCAAATTATAATTAAAGTAACGTGGGTTGAATATACTTCTGGCACACTTATTTGTTCTTGATGATAGGTATCTTATACGCAAAATTAAAAAAGCATGTTTTTGATCTCCTGATAATTAGACTGGCCTGGAGTTATGTCGCAGTTTATCAAATATATTTTCCCGAAAATTTTCATATATGTCAATATTTATTGAATGGTAACTTTTGGATAACGTGAGTGTCATTACGATATAAAAGTTTACTCGACGAAAGTTGACACTGAGACAAAGTGGTGTCGGTGATTTTAAAAGGGTACCATTTTTCCTCATGAGGTACACGGAACTCTAACAACCCTAAAAGAAACTTCCTTTTTCTTTTTATCTATCCTATACTTAAATAGATACGTATATAGTAATTATAAAAGCAAGTCTAACAGTTCTAACATTCTATTAAAATTCAGTATTTATTCGGTTCATAATGATTTCTCTTTTGTTCATGGTAACGACGCTACTGAAGATAAACGCCTGTCGTCTCGTTTTGGTACGTGTGATACACGTCGCCGAGGGTTGAACGGAAACCTTTTGGGGTTAAAAATGGACACGTATTTTGTCTGGGGCCGGAATGCGTGGCGACAGTGTCGGGACGCTGATTTGTTCCGAAGCCGGACAAAGGCGCCAATGGCTTCCAACTGATGACAACTTGTCAGTGCGCGAAAATAAAGAAATTAGTACCTACACAACAACAGCTTCTTAAAAATACTTTCAAAAGAACAAAAACAACCAAATAGGTAAATTCTTAAGTTTTTTGTTTGTAACTGTTGCACTGTTGTTTTGTAAACGGGTCATGACACGAGTGCAAAGGAAATATAATTTTCTATAACTATAAAAAAAGTAAGAAGATGTGTATGTGTTTTGTCTTTCTAGCCCTCGCTTTATGACAAAAAAAATTAATTTTTGTCGAATTATATTTCAATTTTAATCTTTATCTATAGAATTCTTGTCAGTTATTGGCACGATTTAAATTGAATGAATACACCAACACCTTTAAGAATTTTAAAAATTATGTTTGATAATTGATAATTCCATTCTCTCATTCTATATACCATATGTATAGCGTAGGTTTATAAAAAGGAAAGTTTTCTTAATAATACACGGAGTAACTGTATCAAAAAGCATTTATACTTTATTAACAATAGTCCAATGCAAAAACAGTTTTCATTCGATAATTTGGTATTTAGTTGGTATTTTCACATTTTTTTGATGGTTCAACTTTTAATTTTTGTGGATCTTAAGATAAAAAAAATGATTAAATACAAAAGTAGAAAGTAGTTCAGCATCATTCACATGCAACCCCTGCAAGCAAATGTATGCAACATTGCATATGTCCGGTGAAGAATTTTATTAACAAAGTTTTACTTCTACCACGTACAAGCTTTAGAACGATAACTAAACTTATCGAATTTTTTCTACTTGTGTGCTCTTTTTTCTATATTAACTATAAACAATTCAGTGGCGAAATCTGAAGGCACCATTAAATTCTATGTACTTATTTACATTATCATCCTCTTTAATACTTAAGTGGGTGGGTCGCAACTAATCGTAATTTAACGTGCGTTATTTTTGATCTACTTCGTTTTTTCTATTTTAACCATAAATAATTCAGTAGCGGACGTATTTGGTATCGCGCTCGAAATCTGAAGGCAACATTAAATTCTACGTACTTTTTTACATTATCATCCCCTTTAATACTTGAATAGGTACCTTGCATCTAATCGCAATTTAACGTGCGCTTTTTTTGGTCTATTTCTTTTTCTCTATTTTAACCATAAATAATTCAGTAGCGGACGTATTTAGTGCCAAATTTTGTTTTAAAAGTGGCAATTAATTAGTATTTCTTGTGTAACAAATGGAAAGGAATTGCAGTTATAATTTTTATACTACTGAAGTAACTGATGCTTTTGATGTGTTTGTTTGCAAACCTAACAGTCTACAATTAAATAATCTGCAAACTGTGGAACGTTACAGTCTACAGTTAATTAAGATGAGAATACTTGATATCATTAATTTTATCTTATCCTATTTATTACATATATTTCATTTTAAAATGAAAGTTAAATGATAGGGAAAAAGAAGTATTAAATATGTAAATAATATCTAAATTTTCAATATAACAACTGCCTATTTTACTGATTAATGAATGGTACATTATTCATCTTTATTTTACCTGCCACTTGTCTACTTTTACCTCCACATTGTCACTTTAAAATATGACTAATTTTCTAGCTTTTAAAGTAGTTATTAATTATTTTTTCTTGCCTGTTTCTGTAGATTCCCCAAGAAATGAGAAGGAATTGCAGCATCTTCACATTGCAACATTATGCAGTTAATTTTGGAGCTGCAAGAAGGTAGACATCTGCAGATTTGAAAACCGTTGAAACAAATTGTCTACAGTCCTGCATTTGGTTTGCTTTTCCCAGTTGTAAACTGAAACGTTACAGTTTATAGTTAATTTAGGTGAGAATACTTGATATCATTAATTTTATCTTATCCTATTTATATGTATATTTTATTTTAATATGAGAGTCAAATGATTCTGCAAAAAAATATCTAAATTTTCAATATAACAACTGTCTATTATACTGATTAATAAATGGTACATTATGTTTCTATTATTTTACCTGCCACTTGTCTACTTTTACCTCCACATTGTCACTTTAAAATATGACTAATTTTCTAGCTTTTAAAGTAGTTATTAATTATTTTTTCTTGCCTGTTTTTGTAGATTGCCCAACAAATGAGAAGGAATTGAAGCATCTTAACCTTGCAACATTATGCAGTTAATTTTGGACCTGCAGAAGGTAGACATCTGCAGATTTGAAAACCGTTGAAACAAATTGTCTACAGTCCTGCATTTGGTTTGCTTTTCACCTTGCAAACTTTGGAGCGTTACAGTCTATAGTTAATTAAGGTGAGAATACTTGATATCATTAATTTTAATTGCTTTTTATTAATCTGTTACCACCGTATCTGTTTCAGATCGACGTTGGAGAAGACAAAGATGACCCCATAGTTGAAATAGTTCTTTATCTTGCATGCTCTAGCTGTTAGAATTCATTAAGTTGATGTTATTCAAATTAGTTTTTTATTTTACATGTTCTTTTTTGAAGTTTATTTTATTTGAATTAATTTTTATTTTGCATGCTTATTTTTGTTCATTTTGTTTTAAGAATTGTTGATTGTAGATGTTTTTATTTTTTTTGTATGTAGTAGTAGTGTAATAGTAGAAATAACACGTTTAGTAGTTGTAGTATAGTCTAACCTTGCTTACCTCTTCGCTTAGCTTACTGCATATTCTTACTATAAATTGCTTTGCATTTACCCTACGAGTTCTACATGATTCAACGTTTCGTTATCGTGTGTGTTTCTTCTCACCCTTGTGGAATTAGGGAGGGCCTCCCCGAACGACTTCCCTTGGGCTTAGCTATTTAGTTGATCTTAAAAGTGTCTTATACACTTTTCGCGAGTCTACTCTAGCGTTACTTCNGGTCATCTTTGTCTTCTCCAACGTCGATCTGAAACAGATACGGTGGTAACAGATTAATAAAAAGCAATTAAAATTAATGATATCAAGTATTCTCACCTTAATTAACTATAGACTGTAACGCTCCAAAGTTTGCAAGGTGAAAAGCAAACCAAATGCAGGACTGTAGACAATTTGTTTCAACGGTTTTCAAATCTGCAGATGTCTACCTTCTGCAGGTCCAAAATTAACTGCATAATGTTGCAAGGTTAAGATGCTTCAATTCCTTCTCATTTGTTGGGCAATCTACAAAAACAGGCAAGAAAAAATAATTAATAACTACTTTAAAAGCTAGAAAATTAGTCATATTTTAAAGTGACAATGTGGAGGTAAAAGTAGACAAGTGGCAGGTAAAATAATAGAAACATAATGTACCATTTATTAATCAGTATAATAGACAGTTGTTATATTGAAAATTTAGATATTTTTTTGCAGAATCATTTGACTCTCATATTAAAATAAAATATACATATAAATAGGATAAGATAAAATTAATGATATCAAGTATTCTCACCTAAATTAACTATAAACTGTAACGTTTCAGTTTACAACTGGGAAAAGCAAACCAAATGCAGGACTGTAGACAATTTGTTTCAACGGTTTTCAAATCTGCAGATGTCTACCTTCTTGCAGCTCCAAAATTAACTGCATAATGTTGCAATGTGAAGATGCTGCAATTCCTTCTCATTTCTTGGGGAATCTACAGAAACAGGCAAGAAAAAATAATTAATAACTACTTTAAAAGCTAGAAAATTAGTCATATTTTAAAGTGACAATGTGGAGGTAAAAGTAGACAAGTGGCAGGTAAAATAAAGATGAATAATGTACCATTCATTAATCAGTAAAATAGGCAGTTGTTATATTGAAAATTTAGATATTATTTACATATTTAATACTTCTTTTTCCCTATCATTTAACTTTCATTTTAAAATGAAATATATGTAATAAATAGGATAAGATAAAATTAATGATATCAAGTATTCTCATCTTAATTAACTGTAGACTGTAACGTTCCACAGTTTGCAGATTATTTAATTGTAGACTGTTAGGTTTGCAAACAAACACATCAAAAGCATCAGTTACTTCAGTAGTATAAAAATTATAACTGCAATTCCTTTCCATTTGTTAGACAAGAAATACTAATTAATTGCCACTTTTAAAACAAAATTTGGCACTATAGGTAACATTCACACTAACAGAAAGATCAGTTCAACATTAATTAATTGAAGCTTTTCGGACCTCATTTACTAGTCTTGATATTGTTACTTACTAATTCATTGTCAAAAATCCTTCCTTTAGCTGACTTTAATTGACTGCATTCGTAGTAGAAGAAAGGCATTTTCATGCCTTCTTTGGGATTGTAAGTACAGTTACTTTCTGTAGGTAAGGAGGACTTTGTGGCATCCGCAGTTTTTATAATGCTATGTTCCTGTAAAGGGAAACCTTATGAAAGAGTATATAGATATAAGTAATTTAGCATACCTAATAAAAACAAAAATGCATAATATAACGTTAAAGTAATGTCACACCCACATCAAACAAATACAATAGTTTTACATTATAGCAGGTATGCTTACCTTAATTAACTACAGAATCCTCCATAAATAGAGAACAGCAAATTAACTACCGTATTAGATGCATACATTATGAAACAGAATAAAAACTTGCACAGAAAAGCAAGTTAAATTGTAAAATTTCAGAACTTTAAAACGGCGATGTACCGGGGATTCGCTTTCACTTTCAAGATAATGTGTCATAGATAATCAATGTGTCATAGGGCTCAGACAATGTATCATAGCAACACATCATAGATAATAGATATACAAAGGTGCATAAATTCATAGATTCATATTCATAGTGTCAATCAAAACAAAATGTAGTGGCGCTAGAAACGCCACTAGGTCAGGAACAAATATTAATGTATGAACGTTTATCAGGATGAGATTAAATGTTAGAGGATCCTTTTCTGTTTAACCGATGATTTATTGAACATCTTTTTTTGATACACAGTGAATGAATAATTAACACATGAAATAAATACAGCAAACAGGGGAATCCCTTCAACGAGATCACCAGCCATAATCATGTTCGATTTACATATTAAAAGTAATAATAACTTACAATTAAAAACGTATTGTAATTTGAGACCATTTCAAGTAGTTACTTAAAAACCAACATTTACACTTTTAAGAAGGATCAGGCTTCAAACTGACGCTTATACATCAACCATAATAAAATTTTTATCGAACGACTACATCTTAGACCCCTAAATATTGTCACAGACTGGTTAAAGTACTACAATGTCTCTGCATCATAATAATGATCATGATCATCAGATCACCATCTCAACAGCAACAAACTTTTTTGGTTTCGTATCAAGACGCATAAATACAAAAAATACTTTTTTAACAAGTAATTGGAACTTTTTAACAAAATAAACAGTTTCACTTGGTGCAATCCGAAATTTTCAAATTCATTAAACTTTTATCACAATATTAGATAAGATTTTGTAGTGTTAGCAACACGTACTAATGCATTCATTATACATTACTTAATGGATACACGTATTATTAGAAGGGCCTCTTTTTTGCGATATACTTATTTGGTTAAAAAGCATTTATTGACATAAAATCACAAACGTTTCTGTTTTAAAGACGTATACTTCAGTATCGGATTCCGTGATTGCAAAAATTCCTGTTGATTTCCAATTTTGATCTTTTTGTATACGACATTAATAGTAGTTACAATAATAATAATAANAAGATCAAAATTCCTGTTGATTTCCAATTTTGATCTTTTTGTATACGACATTAATAGTAGTTACAATAATAATAATAATAATAAAAGAAGTAACAAATTTGGCTTTGTCTCCGTCTAAAAAAAAAGAGGAAGAGAAAAGTTTAAAATCACTTTACATTAATGAGCATTGTAACAACTCTTATCAATAAATTGAAAACAGTCTCTAACAAATACAATGAACATAATACTTTTTCAATTTACAAAATTATCACTTGAATTATCCTAAAATATATGAAAGTTAATAGTTTGAGATATGAACGATCCGCAGTGTTTCTCAGGCACCAATGTGAAAAACTGAGCGTGAAAATTTTAGACTTGCACGCTCACCATTACCAACTGTTTTCCATGAATCAGTCGTCGTCTTTCTTTTCCGGTTTAAGATCAACCGCTGCGTGGAGTTCTTCTGGAGTATATCTAAAAAAAAAGAAATAAAAAAATTATTAAGAATTCATAGTCAAGGTTTATGGTCAATAATTAGGGTTCTGCACCTTAAAAGAAATTTAAACTCATATACAGGCTAATTTTTCACAAGATCACTCACATGTTCGAAAGTTTCGTCTTTTTGTAATAGTATCAATTAACAACACTAATAAAAGGCATGAAAAATAAGTTACCGTCAAAATCTTTACGCAACCCATTTTATGAATTACTGGGATAGATTATAGTAAACCCAGATGAATGACGTATTTTTTAATTTCTACAAGGGAAATCACCTGACATTTTTATAAGAAATATGATTACTATTAAAATTGCAGTTAGGAAAGAAATAAGGAATCTATTTACATTTGTAAAAAAGATTACAATGACTTCACAGGAATTTTTTTTAATTTAGTGTAATATCGTATATATTAGATATTGATATTAAACTTACCCAAGCAGAGTCTGAAGGTCGCATACAAAACGATATACGTATCGTTTTCCGGCAGTCTTGTGGATGATATTCTTATCGTAGTAATATCGAAGACCCCTGGATAATTTTTCGTAATTCATTTTAGGCTTATTTTTCCGTATACCCCAGCGTCGCGCAACTTCATCGGGATCAGTAAGTTTAAACTCCCATCCGTCTCCCGTCCAGGAAATAAAATTCTGACAAGTTTTGTCCGTAAGTAGTTCTAAGAGGAATTGCCAAAGTTGAATTGGACCGGAACCTAAATAAACGTCTTATCGTTAGTTTGCCAAATGATATCATTAATATTCGAGGGGTATACACAGATTTTGTTCAAAAACGATCCAAAAGTAATTGAAAATTAATATAAGCTTCTTACCAGTAAAACAGGGACCGCCGCTATTTCCACTAGTCGGGTATCCTCCGAGCATGCCGTTTTGAATCATGGGTTTGGTATCTGGTCCCAGGTTGTTCATTCCTTCTCTTCCTGAAAGTCCAGCAGGCAGGAATGCAGGATGTGTGTGCGGATGATGTGCGTGTGCCGCTAGGGATCCTAGGTCGGGTGGTCCGTGACCATGGGGCCATTGATCGTGACCCGTATTGTTTCCACTGGGAACTGTTTGAAAAGGCGAGCCGTCGTATGGGGACCCATACGTTTCACCGTAAGCATCACTGTACCTTGCTGATCCTGTAATAAATTTAATGACAATATGATAATGTATGTGTGAATTTTGTGATTTTATAACGCCCCGTGGACCCGCTTGCTCCATCTACATAAATAGTGGCATTTTACTAATTCATATAATTCTAATTCATATATTTTTATAATTTTATCTGAACATGGGACAATTATATAAATTTTTGAAATCTAGTCACCAAAAAAAAAGTAAACCATTAGCATACGTAATCCTAAAATGTAGCATCGTGCTACAGATGGCGTTCACTGTGCCATTTGTAGTATTTTCTAAACCATTATTTTCAATTCTGGAGATTAGAAAATTTACCCTGTTCCTTAAAATAAATAATTTTATCGTTTCTATTTTCATGATAGTTATTATATTTTTGTACACGAAATTGCGCTCAATACTAAACATTTTGGTTCGCACCAATCAATTACTGTTTTTATTTTAGCATCGACGATTTTTTTAAGAAATTCGCTTGCGGTAAAATAAACAATCGTCATTAAGTTGACATATTGTTGGCTAAGATACAAACTTCTAAAACAATTTCGAGAGTATTTTGCTAATATCCGCGCATGGTAAAATGGTCCCCAAATTATAGTTAGATTACACATGAAATTTGAAAGAAATATTTTTAATAACGGATTTGGATTTCACTGCGCCCTGACCCTTTTTTTTCTTTATACGATAAAAAAATCATGACATAATGATTTCTTACAACATACTGCAGATGAACGCGATGTTCATCAATTTAGGAGACATGGTTTAATTTTGTTGTCATAAAATCAAATATATTAGGAAATTTCTTTACGAAATTATTTGAACAGTTTTTTTGTCATATTTTACGAAATTCGGATTAGATTCCGACATGAACTCAAATTCCAAAATGATATTAGAATGGTTCTCTCTTACGATTAATAAAAAAAGGTCATATTATTACCTAATATAAAATTAAAAAATATCTTTTTTTAACCAGTCCCACCAACAGATAATAATATTTATCTCTGTGGAGGTACATGGGTACTTTGTAATAATCTATGTATTTTGTATTTGCTGGTTAAATAAATAAATAAATAAACAAAAAAAATGTACCGTTCACATCATATTAAGCGCGTTCAAAAGACTAAAAATAAGACTGAAACTTTCGTACGGTATCGTAACACTTACATTAAAGTTTAATTATTTATTATTTATTTAAATTATTAAGACTAACAGCACCATAAGGAATATAAATTGTTATACACACATAAAGTTTTGACAAAAAAGGAAATTACAGAAAGGATTCGTGACACATCCACTAGCCGTAATCCGGCAAACCCCCAGTTTACACCTTTAATATTTTCGCGCCCCTATTGGATTATTTGTCAATATTATTTAAAATGGTGCGTTTGCTTAAGTCTAAAATACTTCTAAATATCAAATTAAATCGTACTTGGACTAATGAATTAAAATTATCCTACGAGTGTAATGATATTATGCATACGTAAATACTGTATGTAGGTGACTTAGCTATTAGATAAGTAATGGTGGCACAGTGTGTGTCACTCTTTAACGATTAAACCAGTAAATTGCCGATCCGTTTAGCAAACTACAGTTAGGTAGTGATATTGTAATTGGACATCGCCGTTTCTCATTTTTATAATTTACAAACGTCTCAATAATTGTTAATCGATTAAATTCCACAAAAGAGATAATGTTAAGTGACACATACGCAATCACAGTGTAGCATGTGTCCACTACTAACAATTTTAGGATGGAGAAGGGTATTTGTCGTTGAAACTGATAAATGTAATATCATGTACGTAGATATGTAATTCCGGGGTGAAGAGGGATGTAGTAATAACTATAAACTAAATGGATTATGAACCAAACGACTCATTTTGGTTTCCAATCATACTTCACATCAAATGTTACCAAATCGATCGAAACACAATGTGTGTTTAGTATATAAATTTTACAGTAAATTGACGGTAATTTTTATCGTAATGGTAAAATATCTACCATATTTAGATATATAAAATTAGCTTTTATTTAGAGACTACGATAATTTCCTAATTTTTTCCCGAAAAGAATTTTTCGCCCTTAAACACGTGGCTAAACTCACTGTGTATCGATTGTTTATTGCACCCTCCAAAGCTCGGCAGTTATTTCTGCACACCTCTAGTTCATATAAAAATATTTTCATCATTTTTGACGCATTTGCATTTCTCTTTTGTAATTGCAATCAATTTGATTAAATCCACTGTTGCTGAAAAAGGTCATCAACTGGCATATACTATAAGAGGGAAAGACCAGGGCCAGGGCGGTTGTATCAATTAATTATAAATTACACATTAGAGGGCAATATTTTTCGATCGATTTGGTTCATTTAACGTGAAATATGATTCGAAATAAATTAGTTTTTGACTATGAAATCGCAATCGCTCGCACTTACGCGTCTGTATGGATCTCATTACGAGATCATTCATTCTGAGTGTTTTCAGAGGCAAATTGGCAAGCACACTTTTGTAGTTTTGCAGATATTACGATGAGCTAGAGATAGGTGATTGGTGGTATAGTCGGAGGGGGTAAACGCGTCATACATTATAGGTGCAGGGTGCAGGATTGAAAACAGACGGAGGTGAGTATTCGTCCAGTAAACTTTAAGTAGATGGAAGATAACCTCAGTGAGTGTGCTTGGATTGACAGAGTAAAATACTTCTTCAGTTTCCAAGCACTGTGGTGAAGTATGCTTCCAGGTCTATTTTGGCGATTGAAAAACAATTTGTAACCAGATAAGTTTAAGTTTCATTCCTTTATTTCGTATTATAAATGCTTACTTGTTTGTGAAACAATTAGTTGTTATTACCTATTATAACTGCAAATTTGAACCTCCATAAAACGTTAAGTTCCTATAATTAGTTAAGTTTATTTTGTCTAATAATACAGTCTTTTTGTACTTCAATAAGTCTTGAATAAACTGACGTCTTAATTTAAGAAGTTTGTATTCACCAAGTCCCCCGTTTTGTTTTTAAATTCCGAACTTGCCCCAAAAACCAATAACTCTGTAGTTGTAGAGTTATTACAGACTTTATAGATTAGTTTAAAGTTTTGTGGTAATAAACGGAAGAAGTACAGTATACAGAAGAAAGTATAGGTAAGTTTCCAAAGTGGCATCACAGTTTGTGAAAATAAGAAGAGTGACGTTATACGGACACATTAAGAGAATGGCTGAAGAAAGACTGACGAAGAGAATATTCAATTATTTCGACAGAAATCCCAAAACACAGATGGCATGGATCAAGGAGGTCGGAAGAGACATGGAAGAAATGAAAATTGTCAGAGAGGATGTGGGGAGAAGACAAGAATTCAGAGAGCAAATTAGGAAATTCAAGGGTTTTCAAGAAAAGCCAAAAAAGAAGACTGGAGATAAGTGGACGGAGGAAAGAAAGAAACAACATGTAGAAAGAATGAAAGAGAAGAAAGAAGGGAGAGGAACAATCATAAGTTATTTCACGTAGTGCATAGTCGGCCAAAATCGAAAGAAGATGAAGAAACAAATATTAGCATCAAAAAATTATTATCACTGGCGGATTTGTTTGATGCCTGTTCAATTCCATTGTGACCAATGCATTACCACTACAGTTACCTACTTATCTGGTGGTAACATGTACCTACCTACCTACATGTGTTGGAATTTAAAATTTAAATAACTGTATCCTCAGTACCTGTCATCAAGTTTCACAAAACACACAAGGAACGTAAAAAGAAATGAGAAAAACAAACATTGGATTGTTTTTTAACTTACCACGTACGTAGTTTTTGAAGTTCTGCGCAGTGGGGTGGTATTTGGTTTCTAGACCGTAGAATTCCGGTGAATTATCTAAGTAGGATTGAGGTTGATGACCAGTTTCTAATGAATGATAATCCTGGTCTTCGGGAGGATAAGGATGTGTTAAAACTAAGTGGGCTTGTTCTTCGTTGGTCAACGAGGCTAAGCTATCTAAACCTTCAAAATTTCCCGTTTCCCCAGACGATGGCGGTGGACACGTACTTCTATTAAACCCTGCATCAAACAAATTTACTACATTAGCATGGCCTTTCATCAGGAACATATAGTACAGACTTATGTTCTTATTTGATTAATAAAGAAATCACGTACCGTCTTTGAGATGCTGGTAAGGACTTCTCTGAAAGCTAAGGAAACTAGAATTTGGGCCTGGCGGGGGTGGCGTCCCGTTCTCTCTGATATCATCAGATGACGGTGGACACGCAGGACTTCTACTCAAATGGCCATAACCACCTGAAAAACAATAGAAAATACGTCAGACATCAACAAAAAAAAAACCTATGGATAGATTTAGGTGAACAAATCTATCATGTCATTGGGTGGGTAAATGAAAAAATAAAAAACCATGAAGGCTCCGCGAATGGACCACACCAAGGTAACTCGATTGTGAGCCAACATTTTGCGCAGTAGGTACTCATTAGCTGCGAACAAACACAGCCAACGTGACTCAGGCAAAATAAATATATGTTCAGACAATGTCAAGCGGATTTAACAATAGACGCGGACCCGATTAGAGAGTGAGAGATGTCTGCGATCTGTGTGTGCGCTGTGTTCCAGTTGGAGCTCAGAGAGATCCGCCTCTCAAAACTTTCCGCTAATTGGATGTAGGATGCCGCCCACCTAAACATCGTTGGTCCTTTGGATTTGTTTTTCCGTTATCTGCTCAAACAATGAACGTAAAATGCGCAATAATTAATCTCCGCTCCGCGTCCAAGGCCTTCAATTATAACGTGGATTATAATTTTTCATGCCGCATCGAAGTGGCTGAAACGTACAGTGAGCGACGCACAAAATTGAACCTAGTGGATGTATCTACACCACACTAGGTATAGAATGCAATGCAAATTAATTCTGCGGTAATAATGATACAATCTGCTTCTGGAAGAACTTTTCCGATACGTAGGTTTAATGAATGAATTATTATAGGAAGTTGTAGGTATAACTATAAATAACTAAGTATCTATCAATTTATTAATCGGCAAACCATCAGGCACATCCGGCCTATACAAAACTGTTCTCTAACATTTGTTTGTTGTTTAATATTCAACTGCAGCGGCCCTGGAGGATGTCCGGTATAACTTACATTGATAGACATGGTTCAGACCAATAACCCATATAAATAACTTTGCATTTGCAATAGACAAATATTTTGGCAACCATTACAAAACCCGCGATTCTCATTACCCAGAATTGTAGCGAATTGAGAACAGAATATCATCTTTTCATAAAAATAATAAAGTAATAGATACAAGTCTAATGAATGCGATTTAAATCCTTTTCCACTTGCGGCATTCGTGGTGATGATCGAATGAGACAAGGCTTTTATGCTTCTAAGCCTTTTGTGTGCCTTATGGGGTCCATGCGAGGTTCTGTGTGTGCCTAACTGCGTAAGAACCCTAATACCTGCCCTACACCCAAAATTCTGGTCGGACCCTATGACTTCGCTGATACTCCCCGTTCAGACATTCTCTGAATATTCCATTATATTCCGTATTTCGCTCACGTTTAACACACGATGAAAAGAGTATTAGAAAAAGGATCGATCTTGCATTATAATTACCAATCAGCTTATATGATATTATTAAATGTATTTTGCGTAAATATATCTAGTTAATACGCTGTCGAATTGATGATTTATACAGGCATTAAGCGGAGATTTATTTTCCAGGTGAGAAGCAACTGGACGTGCTACATATAGGCAGCTAATTATTTAAATTATTATTAACAGCATGCTCGGTTTAATATGCTACATGTATTTTACCACTGGATGCAGTCCTGTGTAATGGTTTCGACCATATCAGGCGGCACATGAAAGTCCGAACAATGAAGGCGTATAATGCGTAGATACTTATACTACTACCAAACCTATGTAACTGGACATAGATACTTACTAGATACGTACGGTTACGTAAAGGCAAGACAAAACGTTTACTAATCAGAAAATATCGGAATTTTCTACTTTTATTTATATGGTAAACGTGTGGAATCATCAATCTACTTGAAAATACCTCCTGTAGATACTCAGAACAGAATAGGAGAACAGAGGACTCTATGGATATCAATAAAAAATAGACGAAATAGAGTATTTTCAAACGGATTTGCTTCATCGAGCCCCCATAAGGTAGATTTAACTGTAAGTTTATACATGTGATAGGTTTGTTCTTAAGACCATCTATATGAAAAATCCATAAGATAATCCTCATCATTTTCGCATCACTACTTATACTACTATATCGGCATGCCCCCCCATTAATCACAAGAGGCCTGGACCTCATTAACCTCATGAGGCCCGCACGCTGCATTGGGCATACCCCTATAAACTCTAGTCCGTTGGTAAGATTTTCATGAGGAATCTACGGGAAAATCCCTATATCGGCATGCCCCTCATTAAAATCACATGAGGCCAGCACGTTACATTGGGCATACCTTATAAATTGTAGTCGGGATTATTTTTGGTAGGATTTTCATGAGAAATCTACGGGGAAATCCCTGTATCGGCATGCCCCTCATTAACCACATGAGGCCCGCACGCTACATTGGGCATAGCCTATAAATTCTAATCTGGTTTTTTTTGGTAGGATTTTCATGAGGAATCTACGGGGAGATCTCTATATCGGCATGCCCCTCAGTAACCACATGAAACCCGCACGCTACATGGGACATGCCCCCTATAAATTCTAGTAGGAATATGGACAACTGAGTTTTAATTTTGTACAAGTCTTTCTCGATCGGTATACTTATATAAGTATTATGTAAGTAATAAACGAATAACAAGCAAGTAATTCCAGAAGCAGTTTAAATAAATCGTCTTAACTATTAAATGTCACTAAGATAATCACGAATACACAACACAATTCGAAGCAGATATGTATGTATGTATGTACATTGCACGTAGTGCATACACTTGTCCGACAATTTAAGAGAGAAATACCACTGCTCCTTTGACCGTAACTTTGCTCGCTTACATTCATTAAAGACAGATTAATTAGATACAGGGTATTCAAATTACACCTATTGATAATAATCGGAGACAACCACAGACTCGTCTATATGAAAGGGCTAATCGTTGAAAAAGCTCAATCGATTTCGATGTGCGAACAAAGTCAAGGAGTAAAAGCTAGAAGATAATAAAACTGATGACCGGTTAAGTAAACTATGTTGCACACCCTGTACAGGTATAGGTACTCGTATCTAAGACGCACCATCAGATGATAGGTGCGTTTGGAAAAGGATAACATTAATTAAAATTTCTTCGGTATGAATCTTGCGCATAGAATATCCTTCTAATACTCTCGCTGCTAATTATGCTAAAGATTAATTCCATTCATATGCAAAATTCTAATGCAGCTACCATCAGAGCTCGATCTTACGCGAATGTAACTAACTACATACCAATCATGAAAGCTAGGCATAATTTAAGGATAGGTGTGTAAGATATGTAAGTGTAACAAAGTCAGAAGAGCATCTCAATCGTCAGCCTGATATAATAAATTTTTAAGAGTCGCTCATCAGGAATTTCAAAAATATTATTTAAACTTCCTGCCGGCTACTAATGCTAATGGGCAGACAGTTTTTTTCAAGTTTTTCAGACATAGGTAGATATTTTGTACACTGAATTGCAAAGCTGAAAGATGAAAGATGAGAAAGACGAAATAAAGTGAAAGATTATTTATGTGAAGTATTAATGCAACAACATTTGCCTGAATGATACAAAGATACCAAAGGAAAGCTTTGACCAGAGTGGCAGGCAGATCCGGACTCGAACCGAGATGCGATGTCCTCCCGAAGGCTAAATTAAATCTAATATAGACCTCTATAGTCCCTGTCAACTTAGATTATCGAAATATAGCACAGAGGAAGGTCTCAAAGCATAAATGTATCTAAAAAAACCTGAAAACCTTTTGCACTAGATTAGAGCATAATTATTTTTCTTTAGGCATTTACAATCACTAAGAAAACAATCGAATTTCTTTGATCTTTCACACGGTACCCGAAATCCCTGGTATTTCGCCGGTCAGAATGAGCTTTTCTGAATTAAACATTTTAACAGTAAAATTTGCAAACATCTCGGTAATTCTCAATCCAACAACTCCCTTGTTTTGAGTATTTTGAAGTTGAAAATACTCATTGTAGATAGATATAATTCCACAACCACTAAATAAGAGTTCTCTTAGCTAAACACAATTTCGAATTGTGGTGTTACCGGCGAATAATGAGGATACCGTGGATAGAGAAGGTTAGAAATGAAGAGATTTTAGAAAGAATAGGAAAACAGAGGACTTTATGGAAGCTGTGTTTTCTTCCGGGCTTTTTGGCCGTGGTCCGTGGAATCTTACTTTTCCAAACGTTTCGCCGTTCTTTGCTGACGACATCTTCAGTGAACAAAGAACGGAGAAACGTTTGGAAAAATAAGATTCCACGGACCACGGCCAAAAAGCCCGGAAGAAAACACAGCATCGATATACGTCGGCCGTGAAAGCCTACGAACTACTTAGAGTGACTTAGGCGAGATAGGTTGGTAGGACACCTTCTCAGGCATGAAGGTCTAGTCAGAGACGTATTAGAAACAGATAGAGGAATAGACATAGACTTAGATTAGATTACTGTTTGCAAAAATAGTTAAGGTTGTTCTAGTTTTGGAGAAATCCGAAAATTAGCTCAGGATAGGAAAGAGTGGAGGTGCGTGTCCAACCAGTCTTAGGACTTACGACCTTATGATGATGAGGATAAATTGTAGAAAGCTTGGCTTGGACTTTATCCTAGTATAGAACCTCTATATGCAATCCACATTAGGACCTTAGAATGAATCCCTAAAATTTTTCAACCTTTTCATATCCTCGCAATATATCAGAGGTTAACTTGCTTCTAGTTGGGAGAATAATAAGTATACAATAATCAATAATTATTTTGTCGCAAACATCCACTAAAGGTTTCAACTGTTTAGCTGCTGCAATTGTTATCCCAAAGCAATATAAATTATTCTTAAAGCAATTATGTAGGTATGAAGTATAGCTAATAGATGTTTAGTTAATTAAATACTTATTATATAATCATCGGTATGGGTAATTAGACGGAGCAAAAAAACTCCTTTAAGTCCGGATTTCCTGCTCAATCTGAGGTTGAATCGAATCTCAGACTTCGCCAAACAAAAGAGTTTTCCTTCACAGCCTTTTGCCATTTAAGTTACTAATTTACCCAAGGCGTAGTAATTAAAAAAAAAAAAAAAACAAACA